GGGGACAGGGCAGGTCGGGGCGAAGTGTCCTGGACCCAGAGGACCTCCCTGGAACCCGCTGTGTCCTCGCTTTCTACGTTACCTCTCGCCTCTGCTCCCTTTCTAGTTTGATTCCTACTCCCTCTCCTCACCCTTTGCACATTTCTGTGAAGGGCGAGAAGGCCCACTCGATGGTTTTCCCATCCACAGGCAGTGTAATTAAGCAATTCAGACTTCAAACAAAAGTTCTTTCATTCAAAAAATAATAAATAAAAGGAAAGCAACAAGAACAACAAAACAACAAAATACAATGGGGGAGATGCTCTCGTGCCCTTGTCCAATTATCTGTGCTTATTTTGTGGGCTGTAAATAGACTTGCCTGTGCTCCCCTGGGCTTTTGTTTTCCAACTTTGGAATGAATCATTCACTTGCATGTTGGTGTTCATCGTTGCCATGTTTATCCAAGAAGTTGTCAACGAGGTGAGTAACGACAAAGCCTAGTAGCACAGGAAGGAGTCTGCATCTTGCCAGTCCAGCCTGAGTCTCAGTATTCAGAATTGACCTACAGGCAGAGCTGATGCACCTCAGTTTCTGTCACATGCAGCGTCGCACAGTGCCCCAGGAAAGGTCTCCTCACACATGAGAGGTTTCTTGGGAGGGAAAAGCCATCAGCAAAGTCATAAATCAGAGGTGTTTTTAGTTCCCCTGTCTTTGCTCCAAAGAAGCCCAAAGCCCAGATCATTCGTCCTAAGCAGATGTCAAGGATGGACACAGTCACACCTGCAGAGGGTCACCTCCCAGCTGGAGAGGGACTGGAGATGCAGCTCCCTCTGTGCACACTGTAGCTGCTTCCTGAGCCAGCCGATCTTCCCCAGCACCCCTGGACACCAGTCTCACACCAGCAGATTGTTCCCACGTTGATTCTAGGTCCAGATGTTTGCAGCAATCACAGGAGGTTGTTCATCTGTTAAACGGGTAGATAGAGAGCAGCTACCGGTGCCAACACTCCATAATAATCAAGACAGAATACCTGGTCTTGTAGGTGTAAGATTCAAGGCAGAAATTTTTATCACAAACAATAAAGAAAAATTTCATATTGCATATTACAGTTATTACAGTAAATGTTTCAGAATAAATGGGCTGCCATGTCAGAAATGAACCCAGGGATTCAGCCTGGAATAGGGCAGTCAGTGGAGAAAGATTCCTCTGAAGAAATGTCTCATCTGAGAATTCAGAGATGAGCATGGCCAGCCATGCAAAGGAGCAGAGGGAAGCACTCGGCAGACAAGGACAGGGGCCCTGAACTGGAAAGGCTGTGAGCTTTGAAAGAGTGCGAAGACCACGTTCCAGAGCAGTGCAAGAGAGGCTGAAGGAGAAACACGGGGAAGGACTCGGGGTGAAACGGAAAGGAGCTACCCAGAGGAGGAAGTGCAAAGACAGGAAACTGGAAAAGGGGTTGGTGACGGGCTGGGCCAGGTAGGAGTGAACAGAGACAGAGGGCAGGGGAGGGGGACTAGGACGCCAGGGTCCTGGGTCTGAGCAGTGGGGTGGGCGTCGCTGGCTGAAAAGGGAAGGGGGTTCAGGGGAAGGGACACAGGGCTGCATTCCAGGCATGTGCATGTCGACAGGCTGGACACGCAGGCATAGACAACACGAAGGCACTTGTTTGTTCAGGTCTGGAATAGGGATGGAAATGTATGATTTATGAATTTAAAGGCTTTAAAATATTTAGATCCATGACATTTCTAGAAAGCCAGAATATGGGCATTCTGACATGTATGACAAAGTAAGCAAATAGAATGTGGCACATGATTTGATGTATTCCATTTTTATTCTTCACCGGCTTTGGACTCTCAAACACACTTATACCAGGTGTATAAATGATCAGTCACATTCCCAGGCTTTCTGTTTTGTGCCACATTTTGTAGTGTGTGTGTGTGTGTGTGTGTGTGTGTGTGTGTGTGTGTGCTTGTCATCATCCTGTAGTAGGATCCCCATTGTCCTCTGGGAAGGAAGGCAGGTGGCCGTGTCTTAGTCCCGGGCTTCTTTCAGGGTGTAATCCCTAGGGAGGTGTCCCTCTCACCCACAGGCTGGGGATTGATTACCACTAATCCCCACACTCCAGCCCACAGTTTGCCTTTTGTTCCTCTACACACACACACACACACACACACACACACACACACACACACAACCTCCAAAATTTGGTCCTTTAAGAGTTATACTAAAGATGAATCAGGTATCTTTAATTCTGTGGGTTTATTTCCTGCCAATCCTGTAGCACCCACTGGTTCCACAAACTAATTAGTGTCCTGTCCACACTTTATAGCATAACTCTTATACCTAACGTGACCATTTCCTCCCTGTAGGCTTTCCCTGTGACCAAGTAGGCAGGGACAGATAAATGCAAAGACCTCTCCTGTCAGCATGCACTATTTATAACTAACTGCCTTATTATGGTGACGGGGATGTCATTTACAAAATGGTGATGGTGGTGCTGATGATTATGATGATGCTTCAGAATTCACTGGAGAAAAATCTAGCAGCTTTCACTTAGGGAAGATGTATATTGGGAAAGGAATGCATCAGACATCTGCGCCATGCAAAGCCACAGCCTCAGGAAAGGGCGTTCCCTGCCAAGAAATGCGTCTATAAGGAGCTCTGTCTTTCAGGGCCCATGGCAAGAGAGCTGGTTAGTATCACAAGTTTTCGTTCTGCTTATTCCTCCCTTGCTGTGATATAATCAGTGCTGCTTTCCAAAGCACTCCCACCCTCTGCCTTTCAGGAATGTGGGGCTTGTGCCCTTTAACTCCCTTGGGCTGGGAGGTGCCGGGCCAGGAGTTTGGACCAATGAGTGTGAATAGAAAGAATATTTCTCATTTCTGAACCAAACTATTGCATTGCCATTGGGAACACCAGAGCTCTCTTACTTCGACAACTTCCCTCACGGTCCAAGATGAAGCTTCCCTGTCAGAGCTGCCCAGGGTGAGGGGACAGAGCTGGGCCCAGCGCAGGCAATGGGAGCAGGACCAAGAATCAATCCTGCATTGTTCTACATGCCCAGGGCTCAGGGGCTGACTTGCTCCTGCCATGTAATGGAGCCTACACGATTGCCTCAGATACCATGACCAGAAGTAAGAAGCTGAGGTAACTAGACGTCTAGTCCTGGCAACCCCGGCTCCGGAGCAGAGGTGGGCAGTGATGCCACTGGGTGTTGTTTGAGGTGCTCCAGTCACAAATGGCAAAGACTGTGCTTGTTTCAAAGGCAAATGCTGCATATCTAGGAAAAGGACTGCAAACAGATCGATAGTATTATTATAATGCCGCCTATTGGCTGCAGCTGAAAATGTAGTAGAGGATATTGGTGAGCTCAGAAGGAAAAAAATGTTATTTTATGAAAGGAGACAAATTGGACAAGAGAGTCCCAAAGTATAGAGAATTTCCAAGACTGACAAACAACCACTTCTCATCTCCCAAAATAAGAAAATAAACCTTAAAAGATGCCTGTACTAACAAGGTTGATGAGGATCAAGCGGGCTTCCCGGAACACATCTGAGTGGAATACAGTGGGTGAGAGCAAAACTGAAAGTTGTGAGTTCTAAAACAGCAATTTTTACTGTACAAAGTAACTCAGTATAACCTCCGGGGATATGTACAGGCCTGTGTTGGCAACTCTTAGACCCATACCAAGAGGAGTCCTGCATGTCATTATTGTCCATCAGCATAAGAGCCACCAGCAGGAAATTCACAGCCAGAGGGAGACTTGACAACATTCTGTTTTAGTCATCTTTGCATCGCTGGGACAATATTGAAGAAATTCACTTTAGGGACAAGAGAAAAAATTATTGTGTCTCACAGTAATAACTGTGAGGTAGTCTGGATAAAATAAATGGGGTAGAAAGAGCTGCAGTCACCTTTTGTTTGCTTTGCTGCCTTCTGCCCACCATGAACTGTTTCTCCTCTGTGATGTCTGTCTGCCCTGCCACCCTGCCTTGGAGCCAGGCAATTATGGATGGAAACCTCTACAAACTGAGAGCTAAATAAGCCTTTCATCTTTTAACTTTGAGTGTTGGGTATTTTGTCTCAGCAAGAAGAGAAATGTGACTGAGACGGCTGTGAAATAGGACCCTTTCCTTGTCCTCCTCTCATTTAATTTGAATTTTTTTTGCATGCTCAAGATAGAGCCTACGGACAGGCACTACTAGGTGAACAGTGTACCACCAAGCTACATCCCCAGCCTCCTCTTTTTAAACATAAGAAAAGAAAAGCCCAGAGAAGTTCAATTTCCCAGGGCACAGAGTAGGAATCTGAGCAGGCATCAAAGGCAGCCGGTGCAGCACCTCTGTTGGGGCATGCTGGTCTCCACCCCCGGAGAGACTGGGTTCTCTACAGGGTGGGTCGTACATCACAGTAACAGAAGCTCACACACACACACACACACACACACACACACACACACACACATGCACACACGCTCACACATCAGTTAAATGAGTTTGGGACTCACAGCAGACATTAAAATAGTAGCTCGAGTGGCTTCAACCACCAAATTCGTCACCAGCCCTCCTGAGCAATGTCATGAAGAGCATCACTTAGGAAAGTGAGATCACAGAAACCAACACCAGGAGGGACAGTGACATCATCTCACTCATCTACATGGCATTGCTGATGCCAGAATAGGAATTTAAAATGAATAAGTAATTTTCCTGTGGCCTTGTGGCTGCAGTGCCTGGAGTCTAAATCTCCGAATTCCCTGTCCAGCAAGACTATGGTACTCCACAGGTTATAAATAGCAACTTGGTCCAGGACAAATTCTTCAGACCAATTCTCTGACCTTCTGCCAGGTCAGAGAAAAGCACACATTTTCCCACAGATCCCAGTACTCAATAAATGTCAATTTATGAGTAACAATGAGTGATAGGAGAAGAATTAATTAGCCAAGAAGGTTGGATGAAGACATGGAGAAGCACTGGCTACCCAGAAGGTAAAATAAGGAATGCTGCAAAATCCAAAAAGACCTCCTTTCCCTATAACCACACTGTCTCTCTCAAGGAATTGATGGGGTAAAAAATTCTGTACAGCTGCATGTGTGAACATGAGAGTGTTGGGTGTGGTAGAGAAGGAGACCTGAACAAGACATGGGGTTTCTAACAGCAGAAGCTACCCAGGGGAAGGCACAGGGGAAGGGATACCAAAAAAAAAAAAAAAGTCCCTAACTTTTAGGGAATAGATAAAGAAATGGTTTTCCTGCCCTTTCTCCCATCAGAGCAAAATATAAGTCCTCTGCAGACCCCAAAGAGATTTACCTTAAAACTTCAACACTGTTGAAGAAAGTGTAGCTTCAGAGTTCCTATCTGTGGTTGACTTTGCTAGTTAGGTAAGAGTTATGGTTTAGACATAGAAGAAGGGTCCCTCAGAGTCTGCTGTTGAGGACTTGGTCCCGGATGCAGCAGTATTCAGAGGTGGGGCCTAGAAGGTGGCTGGACCTTTAGGCACTGGCTGCATTCACAGACTCAGGCACTGAGGCCTTTTAGCTCTGTGGGCTATTAGCAGGTGGTCCCAGTTGAGGAGTGGACCACTTGGGCGTGCTTTGAAAGATATATGTGTCCCCAGCTCCCTTCGGTGTCCTCTCTCTCCCTCCCTGCTCCTGGACACCATGAGATAAGAAACTTTACCCCACCATGGTCATCTGCCATGATGTTCTGCCCCACCTCAGGCCCACAGTAATGGAGCCAGTCAAACATGGACCAAAACCGCTGAAACTGCCAGCCAAAGAAAATCTTTCCTCTAAGTTTTTATTCTCAGGTGTCGTATAGTGTCACACTGACAAAAAGTCTGACTAACATGGATAGAGAGTCCTTTTAGTTA